ATATGGGAGTTCGCCATTGTTCTTTATTCGCAATATTCTATTGACCGCGTCACCTTGCGTCGTCATCCGTCGTCGGCGAGCCATAAATTAAGCGTACAAAAAAAGACTATTACGAACGAGAATAAAATGAGAGATGTCGTATAGTGAAAAGTTTATGAGGAACGGGCGGGCGATCCGCCGCGCGCCGTCTGCGCACTCCAGTTGGCGTGGGTTCAATTCCTGTTTGATGTATTTTCGGTGCCACGCACGGAGCCCGCCGCCATGTTTACAAATACTAGCGCATACTCGATTCAATTCCACGAGATTTTGTAAACACTGCCAAATGTAATTGGCTCGATCGTTCGCTTTATATATGAACGCCGTCATTGGCTCAAATTTCTCGTATACAAACAAGGCTAATTTTGAATGAGCAAAATTATAAAGAGTATATAAGTTTTAAAATACGAAATAGTTTTTACATTCTGTCAATTTAAAAGTCTAGACGGTATATAGGTAGGATGGAATTTATGAGTAATAAAAAAAAGGTGACTCTTGCAAGCAATTAATATTAAAATGGGTTAATTCATATTAGTCACATAATTGAGTCGTCGCGGAAAAAGCATGTATCATTTTTTTATAATTATTTCTCTCACACAACATTTATAAAAGCAGTTTTTTTTAAAGATAGCGGTATTATTTACGATGTCGGTGAAAATAATACTATTTGTAGTATGATAGCAGATGTGTCTAAAAGATTGATAGGCAATATAAAATAAAATGTTCATCGGTTAGTCACATGGAAAAGGAATAAGGGGTACCGTGCACAGGTGTATAATATAATACGTACAAAGAGATTACTGTGAAGTTTTATTAAAATAATTTGTAATATTTGAAGAATTACATTCCCTTCGTTCTAAAACTTCTTCCCTAATAGGAATATTTTGTCTTTGCATATTCTAATAGACATTATCGTAAACGAAATAAATATTATTTAATACGATCCTATAAAAAATAAATATCACACCTATTGAAGACTATTAAAATACAATTACAATGGTCTGTTATTGAGAACATATGACCAACACACTAGCTACATGAAGTACACATGATAAAATCTTATTAGTTATATGAGTGCAGTTATTCTTGGCTTACAAACTTTTTACGCCTAAAGCTGCTTATACAAAAAAGAATTAAACGTAACCTTTGTTTGTGAATCATTTGTGGTTAATGAACAAAATATCATAATGCCAGCAGTTATGATTATAAAGGCGTAAAACAGAGTTATTGAACAGGAAACTTTTAAAACGGCTTATCCATTCATGCTAAAGCAAATATCTTTTAAGCTTAGAAATCTACGAAAGACTATTAATTTCACTGAATTATCTTGAATAAAGAAAGTAACACCCACGCATTTAAGTGTAATACCTCGCTCAACAGCATTCGACAAAAACATTTAAATTATACATTAGGAGCAAAAACTTCAACATTTTACCTGCCTCGAGGTCCTGCGAGAACCTTTGAGTAGTCGGATGCTTTAACAGGTTCCGAGAATACTGCCGGTTTATTAATAAGAAATTCTCAGGATACCTGAATTGAATTTGATTTCTCCGTAATACTGTATACCGATGAGTATCAAATAATAATGTTTAATCACCAAATTGTGTGGTCTACGAATGACATAACAAATAAAAAGAATAAATTTACACTCCGATTTCTCTTATTATTTTATGGTGTTATAATTTGAAAAATGTACCCGTTTTATAACACGAGCTATTACTCTATAGCTTTGACAAACACGTTTCACGGAGGACGCACAATTCGCTTCGTTTTTCGGTTGGTACTATGCCTCAAAAATATTTTAGAACAACTACCACGATACAATATTCAAAACTGAATTGAGTAACATCCAGAATAAAGTTTATACTCGCTTGCACGAATATTATTCGCTGTAAATTAAGAAATGAAACAAAAAGTCACAGATCTGTTGAGCATTTCTAGTTGTTTTTTTTTTGTGTCGGTCGGCAAGTCGTTATTTGGCATTTATTGAGACTGTTTTTGTTTGGCTGCCACGCTCAACGATTACTGGAACATTGAACCTGTTAAAACGATTCGAATGTAAAATTATAAGTACGGGCATATCAATAAACTTTTTTATAGAAGGTCGATACATTAATTACTCCAAACGAATGAAAATAACGTAGTCAAACGTGTACTAACTAAATAGTTAACAGATGTTGACATTTTAACCTTGGAAACTTCACATGAATCGAGTGAACAGTCCGTCAGGAATCGAAACATGTGTTCTAACAACGCGAAGTTATATTTATAGTGTTGGTTTAAAATATCCAGATGCAACTTATATTTCATAAAAACGCCGAATGGCAATTAGCAAATACATCGCTAGTTAAGGAGGTTAAAACATAACTAGAACAGGTCAAAGGAATATAGCAAGGTCCTCTGAAAGGGGTCAGTGACTGCACGGTGGGGTGGCCGGCGCTGATGTGGGGGCGGCGAGGGGCTTAATAATACATAAACATTTGAAAAAAAAAAGAACCCTAAACATCTGCCTCACATGTGCGTTCCGTTTCATACGGTGGATGGAATAATGCAAGTCGTGCGCGCAACCACACCAATACGATGAGGCTTTTTGTTCAGTAGCTTTTTGTTGTCTTCACGCTTTGTACCCGCGAGCTTTCAAACGGACAATGACTTTTTTATTAGAAAGGAAATCAATACATCTGTACTTTTTCATAGAGAACAATTTAAAACGTGCTATAAAAAACTTTATATGTAATATTGCAATATCTGTTCTTTATTATCTGGTTTAGCAAAATATTGTTATGATTATGAGTCACTACGATGTCATAATAATTCATTAATACGAATGACGTGAAGTGAGAGTATGGTTACACCGCGTGTGATCATAATTAACATGTTGGCGTGATCTGGGTACACAAATAGTGCGAATCGATGCAGTTCTAGGAAGATCACACTTTGGATTCTTGCCAAATGCTTTTCCCAACGAGAGGGGTACGGGGGACGAGGTAGAGTGCCACTTGTAACTTTGACGCTAGTCGCTAGAACGATCGAGTTGACTATGAATCATCTCGGTATACTGTAATCGTTTTTCGAGTGTCTGATCATAAATTTGCTGATGAGCATATTCTTTATAATGCAATAACAATTAAAAGCAGAATTTCAATCATAAGAGTAATTTATTCATCAATTAATTTCGATTTAAATATTATTATTTTTCAATGTGTTTTAAGATATTTAATACTAAATGACTCAAAAGAACAGTAGCTCAATTAAAAGATCATGCAAAACATTCCAGTGACATGTATCATTATGAATTAATTGCAGTTCACTTGGTTAGAAAGGCGTCAGACTTTTTTGTTTGCAATAGATTCAAATTAGAAAGGTAGAAATATTATTCGACTAAATAATTTTCTTTACTTGTCCAATACGTTCCTTCACCAAAACTATAACATTAAATAAAGACTATTTCAATCCACTATTTTGTAACGTCGGTTAATCATCAATAACATGTAGAACCGGGGCTAGCACTTAATGCCGTCAAGCACCGGTAATGTCAAAGAGGCAAAGATCGTGGCCTCTGCCTCGTGAGGCCCCCGGAGCGAGATGCCTAGCCCCACGAAAGTTTCTATTACATTTCCCTGCATTTACATGTTGCATGTTTCAAAACTGTCCCAAGAAGAGGGATTGGTACACAACAACATGATTAAAGAATCAATAATTGAACAAAAAAACTAAACGAATAAATAAAAAAAAATAAAAAGGTACCGATTTAAAACTAATGACTGGTAACAAATATTGTAATAACACCTAAACATAGCAACATCGTGATTGTACAGTAGCTGGAGATTATAAAATTCAAAATGGATGTCGTAATCTTAATCAGCGTCTGCGCAGACGGTAGACTCGAGTGCGGGGCGGGAGGTAAGTCCCGTTAGGAGAAAGTAGCCATCTACACTGGCGCACAGATCGTGACGAGCGCTGGACCGGCCACGGCCATCTTAGAAAAATATTCGATTAGATTTTATCAACGCAACCAATACGGTATCTATAATGACATAATAGATCTTCTTTTAAACGTGAATCTGGCTAATAAGTCAGCAGACATTTCAACAAGAACGTTGTTGATAATTTGCGGAACCAACTTGTTATTTAACGTTTTAAAAGCATTTGAATAACATGTATCTATTTTTTATGGACAGAATGCTACTTTCTCTTTCTGTTCGATGTTAATAAATCTCTGAAATTCAACAGACTGTGAATAGGTAAAAATCTGTCAATCATGCGCTATTGTAATAAACACAATGGATGTGTACAAAGCAGATATTCGACCCGCAAAATGTCACGTCACTTGCAAGTTTTTGTACGATATTGGACGATGACACAATATATTTGATATAAACTTCACACGATGACTTGACATTTGAAATATTATGCATAAAGATGAAATTGCTCAATCGATTGCGGTATGTTTTTAAATTTAAAGTGCTAATTCGAATGTCAGTTCAGTCTCATTTGATTATGTTACCTATAAAGTATAGCATAATAATAAATTTGTGGAATGTGATGACGATATTAACATACCAAACGATATTCAAATGACTTGTGATAAAATAAATGGTCTTATAATAAGTGACAAAGTATTTATCCACAGAGACAATGATAGATTTAAAAATAAATTCTGTAACCAAGCACCTACACAAGCTTGGTATAAAACGATCATAATAAGATCTAGTTTTTAGTGCCACTTAACGTCAGTATCAAAGAGATGTCTTAACGTCTATTATTGAAGTTAAATAAAACGTTTCGTTACGAGGGGGCGGCGAACGGCGCTGTGCTGTGTTGATCTCAGCAATTATTGCGCAAGATGTAGAATAAAATCATGACTGAGATAAATTATATTTCATAACTGGTCGTTAGTGGTCTATAGACGGGGCGATCGGAACTCGCTCTACCGGTCCACAGCAGGTGGCAGTCTCTTCTGACCGATTATTATCAACGAAGTAAAACCTGACGACGCATACAACATATCATTACCCACGACAAATTCAAACGTTTTCAGAAATTTATCAAGGAAGCAATAAATGGTGTCTATTAAAAATTTTGTCTTGTTCCAATTTAAATATTTATCCGAGATTGGCTTATCGCAGAAGGGTTTTACTAATTTTGATCAGATTAAACGTCCTGAATATAGCCTACAAGTTTATTTTCTATATTTCAGATCTAAGTCATGGGTCAGAATCAATAATAGATGTGTAAAAAAATAACAAATGTATATTTCATTGCACTCGCATATAAGACGTTCAATTACATAATAACATATTTTAAAAGAGCGCTCAAAGAAACAGCCATTGTCAATTTCATCAAAAACGTTAATATAAAGGAAATTTTACTCTCTTAAACATTATTATGCAACTAGGTGTTAAGATACGTGTGTGAGATGTTTTGCTTTCCCTTTGTTTCTTGTTAAATATTCAATACGCCTCACAACAAGGGTATTATCATACAATTATCATTCAGTCACATGTACGCTATCATATACTTCGTTCTTTTGTTCAATTGTCTATTCATATAAATCGAGTCAACTCGTTTATCAATGTTGATCTCCTGTGTCTTCTTTGATAGAACAGATGTTTTAGTAATTGGTTCGTGTTGACGTCATTGAAATGTATTACGTTATGTATAGGCCTATAACAGTTTTTAAAAAACATGAGCTTTATGTATGATACAAAGTTAACTTTTACGTTTGTTTTTTTTCTTTATGGACATTTCGTGAGCTACTTGAAGTAGAGCGAGCCGAGTAGATGCGTATGTGTACACGCATGACTAAAGTTTTATAGAAAGTTTTGCAAAATAGCATGTTATGCCAACCAGTTGTGAGGGCCAACGAGTGTGAAACTGTGGTTAGTACTGCCATATCATAAAATAACGTTCGTAAATTAACAATTGCATGCGGGCGGCAATACAATTTGCATTAATTTACAATAATAATCACACACTTACGTAAGTAAATGGAATTGTATCTTTAACGACAATTATAACTAGGCATCTGTGTGGAGTAAAATTCTTCAGTTTTATAATATTATGAGTAGAACAGGTGTTGTTTGATAAGTAGTAATAAAATATCTTATCTTGATTAGACATGCCTACAAAAATTGCCATAAAAATTATCTATATTTAACGATAAAATGTTTTCTATTCATCGAAAGTATTTTCAATTGGGTTTTTAAAATATCAAAATTCAGTACAATGACCTTTTACATGTAGGTTCGCTAATGCAATTTATCGCAATTAAGTGTAAAATATCAACATTTAATATCTGAATATTGAAATAAGCAAAAAATTATACGACTGATACAGTAAAAAGTTGTTTCAAGGTGAAATTAAGAAAGTTATATAGAAAATGGTAATAAATTGGACAAAAGCTTCAAAAGGGAACGGCACTGGCCCAAACGCATTCAAAATACTAATAGCTGTCCGCGACCCTCGTCTAAAATGGTCCAAACGACAATAGACAGGTTCGCCTCACAAATCTCACATACATTACTCGTGAGCTATTATTATTCCAAGCGCATTCTCATCGTGATATTAAAAAAAGACTATCGCGTCTAAAAGAACCGGTTCATGTTACGAGTGGTGTTATGAAACGCTTTTAATAATGCCACCGAGCGAATTAGAACCGTCTACGTACTTTCACCGGCGACTTTCTTGGCACTCACGAACTGGTCCGACGCGTCTGACCTCATCCGATTGTTGTGGTATTGTTAAAATGACTCTTTCTAGTTACCTGCCATATCTTTCAACCTATTGATGCCACGTATTTAAAATAGACAACCATTGTTCGTTTACAACATGTGAACGTGACTTACTCCCAGAACAATGGCGTAAGTATTGAGTTTCAAGTGTAAAATTGACTATCTAGTATCAGACACCCGCTTGCAATTAAAGTATAATTATTGCCCTTTCCTTCTACAATGCTGTAGTTATATTTCAATCGTTAATTTATCAGTTTCGCCATCATAGTCGGATATACGTCAATATAATAATGGTGCTATCGAATATCGAACGCGTTTGCAGCTATAAAATTCTCTTTCGAGATTAATCACATCCGTCGGACGCGATCACTCACGCATATAAAGCAGGTGTTTATAAATACGGGTTTGTGTGTAGTATAGCCGACCACGGCGACCGGTAATCGTAAGTCAAACATGGACAAATATCACAGAACCGGTTACCTCGCCGCGCCGCCATAAAAATGTTTTTGGACCGATTCGTGCCACGAATACTCGTTTAATTATCTAGATGACGCACGCGGAGATTGTTACTCGTTCACCTGTATTATCTTTTTTTTTTAATTCGTTATATGGTTATATATAGCAGATTACATTAGGACATTAAATTCGTTTCAAAACCAGTTCTGTGATTATTTCCTTGTTAAAGAAAAAACTGTCCAACCTTTAATTGACTTTGGTTTTTGCGTAGTTTTAATAAGTGTTCCATTAAAAAATAGATCTGTAGAAACATTATCAATAATAATATTTAAGTTAACAGCTCGAAAACACTTGTGAAGGCGTAAACATTCCTGTGTTTAAACAAAAAAGCTATGCAACAGCGAGGGTTGCACTGACGCCTCGTGTGTGGTTGTCTTTATGTTTTGAAAGAAAGAAACACGTTGTTCTAACCCATTCCGCCCGCGTAGAGATTCTATCATATAAGAATATCATAAATACTTATTTGACATGTACCGTTGTTTGTTGTATATAAAATGTAACTATTTAACATAACTTAGACAGATGAATAAAGAATTATGTAGAATAATCGAAAACGTCGTGACCCCGTTACTCGGATAACAAATTGAATTTCAGATATTGATATAATAATAACAAATGTATTGTCGTCCGCTGTGACCTCTGATTCGATACTGGCCGGGTGCGAAGCATAAGTGGCCCCATACATATGCAGACGGTGCTGGACAAACAAAGATATGATTTGAATGTGAAATCACCTATCTCAATAACAACACATTTATATGACGTTATGAATAAAGTGGATGAATAAGCGAACATGTTACCAGCGAATGTTTTATAAATGACTGTCAACTAAGATTAAGATTAGAATAAAGTTTATTTTTAGTACGACTGTAATAATATGGCTTTTACAATATTTGAGAATCTATGACAGACTATTGTTATCGATTCAACGCAGGTAAAGTAAATATGTACATGTATATTAGTTTAAATATGCTATAAAATAAACTTATACTCGTAATAATAATAAAATTTCTCAATTTTTAAACTCGTAAATACCCCAAGGTATAAATACAAATAGATTAATTCCGACGTATAACTTTATTTTAAAAGCGTTTAATGTTTGCTGAAAAAAATAATTTTAAAATACTTTCCTTTAAAATGAATTTAAATGTTTAATATTGCAATGCAAAATGCAATATATACTTTCCGTACTGTGTGTGATTCAAAAGAAACTGTTTGTTTTAATTTTGAAGACTGAAACAAAATCGTCTGGAGTTTTTTTTAACAGATATATACTTATGTAACTGTAAAGCAATACTGGTAAACTTTACCTTTTTTATTAATTTCGTTGGTTTCACTTTCCGGAGAAGAACCTGTAACAAAAAATATTTTTTACAAATTATTAAAAACTCATAAGATACCTACAATGATTGAAACTACAACTAGGAATGTCAAAACAATGAAAAGCCAGTTTTATAATAATACTAAACATAATCTTAACGTTATTATATTAAGAAACCTTCGAATCCCAAAATAAATACGTTAACCATTTTATAAAAAAAACTTTGTGCTTATTTAAAGGTCAAATATTTATCTGTTGAATATTTATGAAGCCGTCAAGAATAGCAGACATGGACCGGTTATCGCAACCTGTTTTGTCAAGTAAGAGGTATGAGAAATAAACAACCTTTTTCGTTAGACTTGGTCACAAAAAAAAAAGATTTCGATGTTTATGTAAGCACCTATCTCTGGTCCGTTAAACAGGGTTCAGTTTGTACAACCTGACTTGTTAATTACTCACGAAAATAATTCGAGTGTAGACGATATTACGAATACTGAAGCTATTTTGGAGTTTAATTAATATGACCTTTAACAGTTCCGAAAGCTGCTTTTTAAGGTCAACACGATTTGTTGACTTGGTGAGTGAAACATACACCAACAACCCCAGTAATTTATGTTTCTTTAATAGCGTCGTGTCTTTTTTATTTGAATAAGGGTATGCATTGAAAATGTTCAGCCGGCTGACCACAGATAAAGCGTTTTAAAGAGTACAAGGGCGGCAGGTGGTGTCTTCTCTCGTGTTTCTGTAATTTCTGTTTGCCCGCATGATTATGTCAAGTAATGTGCAGCTGTTCAACTGAGAAGCTAAAAGCGGTGTACGTTGCATTAATTGCACTGGAATGTATCATGTTTGCTTGATTTAATTCAACCATATTCAGATCCAAGTAAGTAGCGTTATCGCTGAGAAGATAAATATTGTCGTGGCTCGTTTGATATATCAACTATTCTCCTTGGCAGAGAGCACGGACGTTTGCCTGGCAGTTAAAAACTTCTATCACTGCGAGTGTGCCTACAGTAGATCAAACGAGGTCAGTAAAACAAAATAATATTCAAAAAAATCTGTATCAAATAACTCGGGTGATATAAAAATTTACTGCCTTTTCTTGGAAGATACGCATAAACCGTATTGATTAAAAAAGAATAATTAATATTTATAAGGCTAGTAATGGTATGTATTTACATATGGCCATAAATATAGAGTTGTTTTACCTTATCGACTGTATAAAAACAACCTGATGTTTTTTCCATTGATTGTAAGATGTGGTCAAATATAGAAAGTGAATTTTACGACAGGTAAAACCATTTTTTTGCGCAGGACAATTGCCTACATAATACACCCGCCTTGCTGTGTTATGCGGGACGCTCTTCCGAAAGACTTTTATTATATAGGTATTAATTTCAAAAATACTATAGGCAATATTTACAATATAAATTTTATCTTAAAACATAATGTGTTGATATACTTTATTAAAAAGATGAATTTCATTCCACTTATTTATTTGGTGACCAAAAAATTATTCTACTCCTTGTTTCGGAAGGCACGTTAAGCCATCGGTCACGGCTGGTTCTGCAGTAGTTAATACCCTTCAATCCACTTTGAGCCAGTGTAGATAAATGAGGAAGGCCTGAGACCCTGCAGTGATGACGTAAAGGAGCTGGTGATGACAATGATTTTCTACGTTTTTTTTTTTTAAATAAAGAAATTACATTTTCCTGATTACCATTAAAAATCTGCGTTTGAGCTCTGAGTAGGTTGTTAAGAGTTTCGACGACTAATTTGTTGACAATCATTTGCTAATACTAGTGTTTATTTTTAATTGCTCATCAAGACACAAATTATTATTCGCACTTACAAATCGTGAATGATTGCCTAAGGGAAATGGGCGCATCAAATGTAATATTACTCAGTCATCATAAACCAGTTTGATCCAATAAACAAACTTGTTCAGATGATATCTATCGCGTGGTTGGATGGATCGAGGAATTATGAAAGGTACATCATCATTAATTACTTAGTTGTCGACTGTCTTCCGGGAGGTGATTATTGTTTCTAAAGTTTTGAAGAGCATTTGCAATTAATACCTTTCATAAAAATCATAACGTCACCACACTGACCTAATATTTCAGAGGTCTTTCCTAGAATTACGATTGCGTATAGCAACAAAAAGTATGTTTGTTTCCCATTAATCAGTATTAGCATTATGAGGAAATACACAATGACTACCACGACGACCGTATCTTACAAGCGTGACGTCTTATAGTGCGGAAACATTTGTAGGCGTAGTATTGGTTTTACTCTAATGGTTTGACCGTTGAGCGGACAGACTAATGACTGAGCATGCTTTATGTACAAAAACCTGAGCCGTTTTCCTTTTATGTGACTCGTTGGCTCCTTTCGAGCGCATGAAGCTTGCTGGACCGGTTGTTGCAACTGGCCCGTGGGAATTTGTGACTCGATCGAGCACGTTGCCTGATTTTACTGTAATGGATTAATCTTTTTTTTCTATAATAAATGATTATATGATGATGCCAAATATATTTATAAGTAACCATATTTTAGACTAGTTAGATATATAAATTGACAAAGCAGATATATGTATGCATATATTACTTATCGCTCAAAAGATTATTACAATTGCATCAATTGCGAAAAATAGTAGGTATTATTTTCTAGCTAAAAACTAGCTAAAAAAGTGGTCCGCGTATGAATCGGAATTTCACTCTTCATTTATAAAAACTGCTACGACTACAGCAATATCATCAAACTCTCATACTCATATCGTAAGCTTTCTAAATAAGCACAGGAAAGCATCATTAGATCAGCCAGTTACCAAACGTAGTCACACCGGTTGCTCAACTGGTTTGACATGTAGTCGAGACCACAGAATTTATATTATGCACATAATATTAAAGGGGAATTCGTTCCACGAAATCGCACATGTTGATAACGTCGTATAGCAACCGATATCCGGTGAAGGAATTCGCCTATAAATATTATCCATTGTAATTATAAACATAACGAGAATGAATCGCGGAAAAGAGCTCGCGTTGTTTGCATTACATCGACTACTCTCGTGTCGTGTTTATCGTAAATTATAAACGGGCAGCTTGGCAAACGTCCGTTGTACCTAAAATAAACAGATAATAAGATTGAGCGGTCTGCGCCTTGATATGTTCTAAAAATAGATATGTTTTCATAAGCTGATATGAGATTTTACGCAGAGCAGTGTCGGGAATGAGGTCGGACGAATTGGCAATGTTGGCATACTTAAACAATGCGGTGGCATGTTAACCAAATAGTTTAATTACTAATTGGTTACAGATATAGTGGAATTATATTTAGAAAAGAATATTCCCAATACTTGGAATAATGATGAAATAATAGGATTGTATAACCAGAAACAAAAAACCGAAGCACGTGCAATGGGAATCTCGCGGGGAGGTTTGCAAGTTCCGCACATACTTTTGATAGGTTTTAATGCAATCTATTTTCTATACGCCTTTTTTGACAAAATATAAGGTCCTGTAGTACCCAAAAATAGTGCTATGTTTAAAATTCATTTATTTTCATAACACATCTGTCTACTGCTCACGATTTACAATTTAAAGTATAAAAACCTAAAACTTTTTAAATGAACTTAAGTACTTTGATTTCGTGTTGAAGTTTCGGTTAAATCCATAATTTAACATTATTTGTCAACGTAACGTGATGACATCTTATCAGTATCTGTGATAAGCAGGGCTTGGCAATAAAAAAATAATTTAATACAATAACTGTAAGTAATTAATGAGGTATCAAATATTTTCAAACGCTTCATTATTTTATCACAAGAAATAAAAATAATTTTTCTTAATAAAAAAACCTTACTTCATAATGCGAATTCCAAAGATATAAATAACAACGCTCTTACCGAGTGTCTGTATGTAGAATACTGAAGGTTTAAAAAAGCATCTATTTTAATAAGAAAATAAGTTCATATATTTTAATGCATATGGATCGTTCATTAGTTTGTTAATATTGAAATAAAATAATCTAAAGTTAACGTATACTTATCACAAAACTTTTGAAAGTTACGTACAAGCAAAGGTGAAACAATTCGCAAAAATACCAAGAAGTACCTATACTTTTTTTAACGATTACAAAAAAATAGATAAAAATGTTATTAGATTGCACGAACACCAAAGCGAGTCTTCTTATAAATTGTTCTCGTTTTTTAGCCTAAATCTATAGCGATAAAGTCTAAAATGGCTCGCCCACGGTAACAGTACCTAGAGCTTTAGTAAAAACACGTTTCAAAAGTCTCGTTGCGCCGTGGAATGAATAAAAAATGTTAGAATCGAGGTCAGACTAGCAACTAGCAGTAATAATTAATGTGTTTAATGCTTGACGCTTCTTTTGTTATTACCGATAAAATATAACTTAGGATATGACATAATTCTGTTGATGATCTCTTTAGACCAAATTCTTAAATAAAAAGCTTAGCAAAAACACTGATTTAATTTGTAGAAAACTTCAAGGAACCCTTTCAAAAAGGGGCATTACGAAACATAACGAAGAATTTACAAGAAAACTTGTAATAAATTTCGAAATGAAAATTGTTTAAACCAATCGGGGCAATCCAGTGAGAATAAAGCGCATCAAATATTTATTTCCTTTTGAAATGGATGTATGGAAAGTATGGATATGGATGTAATGGATGATGAAATTTTTATAAAGTAAGACAATAAACTACAATTGCAATGATTATTATTATCACTTATACTAATGTATCGTCCTTTTTTTGAAGTTGGTTTAAAATAAAAAACATTGCAATCTACGAGTTTAATGGAAATGCAAACAGATCAAGGCGGACTAAATTTATTTTTCAATACTAGTTCGGTTATCGGTCACGGCTGCATAAATCAACTCTACGTCATTGACGACATTACGAATTCTATGTTTAAAACATAAAAAGTTTTAAAATGTATTTCAAATGAATTCTATGGAATATTACGGTTTGTAAAGCCGTCTACACATGCTGCTCAAGTTGGC